GTTGGGTTATGGAAGTCGCTAGCTGAATTGAAAAGCATTTAGATTTAGCCAGACTTTACCAATATTTAGGAAAACCTGAAAAATGTTAAGTTGAATTGAACAGCTGTCGCGAAAGGAATTGCTTTTGCAAAGTAAGAAATGCGAGCTGAAAAGGATCTAGTACCTGACCTTCACGAATCCCAAATCGGTACATAGCTGTGTTTTATTACGCTGTGGTTAATGAGTCGCACTATCGAAATGTTCTACGTACTTCTGTTGAGGTTATACACAGATTTTGGGAATTGGGCAAGTGCGGGTTGGAGATTAACAAGCCTTACCAACTTACAGAGCCTTTCTCAAGTCACAAGGGCTTCCTCTTGCCCTGTATTTTTGCTGCAGTGCATTCTCGTTTGTATTTTGCAGGTGGAACAGTTGACTGCTAAATGGATTCGAATGAACTGCGTCGCGGAAATGGGCAGCGTCGTCCCTCGAGGAGAACTGTACGCAAGTTATGTGGACGATCTTCGACATCGTTATGGGGCTCTTTCTGGCTCGGTGCAGACATTTACCAATATAATCAAGTATGATTTGCGATCATTATCCATGTTTTACTGCGATTATTTGATTCTCTTTGGTTTATAATCATGATTACGATTACGTCTGTAACTTTCATTACTACCTTTTTATTGCCACCGTGCGGTTTCATTGCAACAATTAGTATTTTTTACGATTTTCCTCCATTACAAAGCTTTGCTGGTGGGCATCACAAAACAGAGCTATCGTGCCGAAGGTCGAGGGCTCAATTTCTTCGCTGGGCGGTTGTTCCCTCCCTGACTTGCACATTTGTTTTGATGGAAGATTAGTTGTTGCACACTCCGGAAAGTCAAAACGGGCATTAGGCCGCGAAAGAGGGGGGCACCGCTGCTTGGCCAGCGAATAGTTGCTGTTAGCATGTGCCACCATTTCGGCTGATTCCGTGTATTTTGCCTTTGATTGAGAGTATATGTGAAGTAGAGAGGGCGAGATGTGAAATTTGTTTTTTGGCTTTAGCAGAACTTTATTTAATATGATAGTGCATAGGTGATGAGACATTTTTCAGGGATAGTTACAAATCATACTTTTTTTATGAATTTTATTCGTCGTTTTGCATTAAATTTTGTTTGTGTTTTTCAGAGCTGTATATCCGAATGTGGTACTTCGCATTCAACAGTCACCTGGTAGTAATATGCCGGTCTTTGAAAATTTGAGAATGTGTAAAACAAATGCGACCACTGGTACTGTGCATGGAAATACTGCGACCGGTTAGCAGTTTCTTTTCGTTGCGTCCCTCTCATACTGAATTCAGTAAATCTTGATGACCCAGCATTGTTACCACGACCGTCGTACTGACGAAGTCCAGTTCTGGTACTAAATAGGAAAGTATATGACTGGATGGACTGATACATTCTTGTTTCGAATTATCATTCTTATTTCAATCTCTTCCCGGATTGTTTTTTTTAAGCTTATTGGATTCTATTGTATCATTATTTCGAAAAAATCAGAAAGTATGGGGTGGACAGGTGGACAGGTTATTTTGACCAGTATTTTGATCAGTAAGCGCATAACCCCCGCTCTTTCGAAACAGCTGGATCTCGCTGTTACCATAGCCGTATTATTTTGGGAACTTGGCATTTGTTACTCTGCTCGGAATGAGGTATTTGCTGTGTCACATTTTCTGTGATGCAGTGTACTTACAGCGTTTTTATTACCCACCTTCTCTGTCTTTTGGAAAAATTGTGCTAACAGTTTTGTAAAAATGTTCAGCTTCAGGCGGCAAGAGGTAAATACGGAATATCCGGTGACTGAGGCTTAAAGGTGACAGTGTACTCTTTAAAATAACGGTATAAGATGCGATATGAGCAGGGGATGGATACAAATGCACATTTGTGTTGTTTCCAAGAGAAGCAGGGGGAGGGGGAGGGGTGATGGAATTGATGTAGTGGCAGAAGCAAATAGCGAATTTATTGCAGTAACAGGAGTAGCAGCAGCAACAGCAACTTCAACAAACACATCGATCATTGCGAGTCATCCGCTGGTTCAAAAGATGCTAACCGACAACAGCAGTAGTACGACCACAACCTCACTCAATGGACACGCTGCAGTTGGTGCAGTCGACCAAAAGTATCTTTTTTTTTGTTTGCTAATTCAGGGTATTTTTGAAAAAAAATATCTGAAATCGCTTTTTTACTGCGTATTCTTACGAAAATAGTTTCTACATCTGTTAACCGTATGCCGGTGTGTACGTGTGTGTTATATATGTGTGTGTACGTGTGTACGTGCATGTGCGAGTGCAGGTGCGGGTGTGTGTGTGTGTGTGTGTGTGTGTGTGTGTGTGTGTGTGTGTGCACGCTGGCATTGCTCGGAATTTAAACTGCTCGCTTCGCGCTGCTCATCTGCTATTTTTTAATTTTAACTTATCGTTATGATGTCTAAAGGTCTTTCGTCGGTGAGGAGTCATGCCGCCGCTGTGATTTGGCTTGCGCAGCAATGGCATAATGTCTCGCCAATCTCACTAGTTCGGAAATTGCGGATTTTTAATCTCCTCGCCTTTTTTTCTTCTCTCTGCTTTTAATAGCTAAAAACTTGAGGGCCAGCAACGCATAGCGAATGTAGGAAATCTGTCATTGCTTTGAGTAGCCTCTCGCATTGTGCCTTCCACCATTCGTTCTGTGTGCTTTTCCTTCCCAGTTTCGTTTCTTTTATTTGGTTTTTCGAAAGAATTTTCGAAGCAGACACGTAGCATATGCCCCAGTTGTAGTTAGCATACTGTATCATAAAAATTTTATTACAGAATCATTACTATGATCGAAAGCCTTCTGATTCACTTTTCGAAGCACTCAGAAGTAGCTGTGTTGACAGTTGATGGCAACAACACCTACACGCTAACGAGACTTTTGATGAAATTATCTTTTGAGGGTTTCTTCAGGGCGAGCTGATGGCTGGTTTTTGTCTCCTCTGTATGCACCATTACGTTTTATCGTCAGAATGATTGATCATACCGTAAAGAAATTGGTTTTCCCAACCACGAAATCGAAACTTCGTCCTTCATTTGTAAGGAGCCATGCATATCACTATGCTATACCCGCCTGCTGCTGCTGCTGTCGCCTTGAGTTGTTGTAAAACTTCAGGCTTAGTTTCAAATCTCGTTGTGATCATGTATTAGGGGGGAGGTGTGGGGGAGACTTCGTTTATTGCTAGAAAATTTTCTAGAGTACTGTTTGATTCATTTATCTGTAGTCGTTGTAGTAGCTAGTGACTGCGGCAAGTTGATATACTGCACTCTCAACGTCTCCCATGCGGAGAGGCTCTCCTTATCTATTTTTATACCATAATCGCTTGGATTTTAGGCCTTTTTTCACAGCTTTTATCACTTTGTTTTTATTTTTTTATGTTATACAGCATTTCCCCAGTGGACATGAGAAAATTTGCTGAATTTCTTTTTTTTTATAGAATTTTTGTCTTCCTTGACTCAGTTTTGCTCCGCTTCAGCTATTCCTGTCGCTTTCCTGACTTCTAGAACTTCGAGACCTTTCAACAGAGGAAGTAACCCCTTTCTCCAATGCACAGTTTTGCAGTTCTTGTGCTTATCAACAGGGGCTTTTCCTAGGCCATCTAGTTTCAAAGTGCGCATACAGGTGATGCATCATTATTCGTATAAAAAGTTGGTTTAACGAGCGGTTGATAAGAATCTCGCATTATTAGCTCTCAGTCAAGGCGTATTACATAGCTGAAGCAGAAGTCGCTTCCAAACCTTCCAGCTGGTATTTGCCTATTGGCAAGGACTTACCCCCTTCCAAAGCTTCTCTTTCTTGTGTTCAGTTCAGTTTTTTTTTTTTTTTTTCAAAATTTTTCCAGTTGTATTGGTCTATTTCCGAGTTGACTTTTTATAGCGTGCGATTCGAAATACCGCCGAATACGCCAACTGTTTTGGCTATATCGTCCGACGAGGTGACAGCATCATCGGCGCGTCCCAATTCGGTACATGTGATAAACGCGCAGCCGTCGACTAGTTCCGCATTTAGCCTACAGATGCCTTCAGTCGGTACTGGTGCGCAACACAAGGTAACAATATTTTTGCATGGAAATTCGAGTGTTTTTGGTTTCTAGATGTGATTGAAGGGAATTGTATTGTTTTGGATCTAATATAATAGGCATATTTGGAGGTTTGCCGATCAACGGCAGAAATTCGTGATATCCTGTCAAAGCAGCGACCGGAGACAAAAATTGTGCGAGTGGAGAATCGGGCAATAGCTGCCAGTAGTCTTATCCCTTCTTGCGATGCGAAGCCAGGTACCTCCCAGGTAAAATATTCACTACTTTTCTTTGTTGTTTTTGATTTGTTTTTCTACCAAGATGGCTTCCTTTCACTACTGTGTCGTTCGACATTCGGTACTGTGTGATCTGATAAGGACGTATAGCATATGCTTTAATAGCTGTATATTTTTGCTAGGAAAAAAAAATTTAGGAGAAAAATATCTACGAATACGGAAA